CTAAATATTAAAAATGATAGATATTTTGAAAATTTGTAATGATGTCTTTATCTTAGTCTTCAAATGATTGACTGAAATATAATGGATATTCACAGAAGAAATTTACATGTAACCGATAACTAAAATTACGAAATATTGGAAGGAGGGCAAACAAATTATTTCCTGTTTTAGATTACGCTAAATGATCAAATAATATAAAATATAGCATATGAAAACGATTATTATAAAAGTATGAAAATATTTCTTTGGAAAAGACTTAATATTTACCGGATAAATAGTGTGAACGACATCACCACTTTTTAAATTATAGTGTAGGGCAAAATGCATCAAAGGTCCAAGAAGGCTCTGAAACAAGAAACAATTAATTATGAAAATGTATAACTATGTACTGTTTGTCATGCTTCGTAAAATCAAATGTTTGTAAACTTATTTATAATGCCTTATTAATTTTCAAAAAAAAAGCTACCAATTCATATTTTTTTAGATGGATCGAAGTTTTGAAACATACAGCAAGTACAATGAAATATATATAATTGTCATCCTCTTATTCAGTTTGTCTTTTAATTCAATAATTTTATTCATTGTATTCAGTGGCTAAAAAGAAAAATAAATCCAGATCTTTTTATTTTTAGTGACAAAAATTTCTTTGATTTGCGCTGAACTTTAGCAATATAATATACAGGGTGTTTTGAAACTCAAGCGGGCACACGGGGAATGAAGGGAGGGTTCATATCAGCTCTGGGAAGAATTTAAGGTATCCAAATGCGTTCGGAACCGTGATTTTGCAAAAGCGTATAAATGGATAATATTTATGGTATTTAGTGTCACTTAGATTAGAAAATATATATAAAATTGTTTTAAGAATACTATTATAATAAAAATGATTTAAGTACAATAATTTGACAAAAAATGAACATAGAATGACCCATTTTCAAAATATTCTCCTTTTGTGAAAAATGGTTCTATTATAATAATATTTTGCTTCTATATAGCTCAGACCTCTGTTCAGAGACTCAACTAGAATTTTTGAAATATTTAACTTAGAAGTGAGTTTATTCATGTTTTATGACAACAGAGAGGAGAAATTTTAAGAAAAAAACGCCGATAATTATTTCAAATGGGCGTAATTCTGAAAATAATGTGAATTTTTCAAGAATCATAGTTGAGCCTCTCTGGTCTGAGCTATATGCAGACAAAATATTATTATAATAGAAGCATTTTTCACAAAAGGAGAACATTTTGAATAAAGGTTATTCTAAGTTAAGTTCTTGCCGAAATATTGTACTTAAATAGTTTTTTTTTGTCAAAATGTCCTTAAAACAATTTTAGACATGTATTCTAATCTAAGTGACACTAAATATCATGAAAACTATCCATTTATGCGCCTTTTTAAAATCACGGTTCCGAACGTAGTCGGATACCTCAAAGAAAAATTTCAAATCATTTGGATAAACTTTGGCAAGTATATTTTTAAAATTCAGAAAAATGACTCATTCAATTACATCATAACGTATACTGTAACCACAATTTTCACAGTGTTACAGTGATACTTTCCTTAACTAGATTGCATACACTCACGCTAAATTAGATAAAAAAAAATAACGTAGCTTAAATCGGTTTGTGAAGAATGATGTCTCTTAACTTTGATTCTTCATAAAAAGTAAAATATCACATTTTATACTTGGCAAGTTATTTTAAAAGATGATTCATTTAGTTGAGATTCTAAAATGATGTAATACTTGCTATTTTTCTGTCCATAACAATTATTGTCAATTTTTTTTTACCAAATGACCTCATTTCAAAAAGGCCGAACTTAAGTATGAATCTCATCTTAAGTATTACATTTAAAAATATAAACGAGAAACATTTTTGAAGTATTTTAATATACTAAATGTTCAAAGTGAGAGAGAGAGAGAGAGATTGCCTTCTAATTTCTTCTAAGCCGATCGAAAATGTTATCGAAAAGAATTGCTGAGTCAGTTGATGTAATAAATTCAGCTAATATCAAGCAGATACTTTATTAAAAATGCAGAGACTACTTTCGTGTGCGCCTACTTTTATTTTTACTAGAAGTGGTAAGACCCATTTACCCCGAGTTGTTGAATGTCGGGACACCCTGTATATATATTTCTCTATATATGTTTTTTACATTTGTTTAATCCAGGGTTAGAATACTGAGGAATAAGTGATACTTCTTTCTCAGTGATTTAAAAAGTGTTTACAAGTTTTTCAGCTTGTTTAGTGTGTTAGATTTGGTAATAGTACTTAAATCTACTTTCTTCGGCACAAGCCAAATTTATTTTAATATTAAGCATATTTTAATGCTTTTTGTATCAGCTATTTTTATTTAAATGGTTAAAATATAATAATATTATATAATAGAAGTCATCATAGTATTATTAATTATAAGGTGAGTTTGAAACTCAGTATCATTTATTTATTTTGTGGTAGAATTTCTCTGATATGGTTAATATAAGTTTTCTTAACAATACGCTGTTAAGTTTGTATCATCAACAATTTAAGAGAAATTCTCAAATTTTAATATTTTGTTAATATACGTATGCTAAAGATTAATTAAAACATGTTTTCCTATAAGAAAAGCGTGATGATTATCACTAAAGAATTTTTAAAAAACTCTATTTTATCGGTTATAAAAATAATTTTCCTATTAAGCTGTTTGCCAATGATAATTCCAAGAATAAGTATCTATTAATGTTCCAATGCTAATAAAATAACTCGTTTACAATTTTTTCTAGTAATGAAAATTCTTTGCATTGTTACTAGATATAATTTCTATATTTTGTATTTTGTTATTGTTTTCCTTGTTGAAGTCTTTACGTTTTAGAGATTTACATAGATGTGATTTAATGGAATTCGCGTGTGGCTGCTCATCGAAGCGTAGTCACTATGTTTACAAACAATGGCATTGTTTATTCTTGGTATGAGTCGAAATAATGCATTCAGAACTAATCACATATCTGATCAGATTATTTTTTTCTAAAAATGGCTAAAAAGATTCTTTTAGCTTTATTTACTTCTTTTCAAATATTAGAATGTATGTGTGTGTTTTTTCGAATTCATTTCTTTCTTTTTATACGTTTGTCAGCAATGCTAACTAAATGGCTTTGAATCCTAGCACAGCCTACTGATTTGGCTACAAAGATTTGGCTCCAAGTTGGTAACTGGCAAGAAATGGCAAACCTATTAGGACCATCGTTTTCTATCGTTTTTCTGGCAGCGGTTGGAAGGTTTGTTTGTTAGAGAATTTTTTCTAAAATGGCCGAAAAGTGCCGAGGGGATTTTTTTCTACTTTTAATGATGAAAAACGCTAGAAAGAAACTCACGGTCGCATAGCATCGCTGAACGAATGTCCGAAATGTGGAAATAATGTTCATTTGAGACAAAGAGATATACATTGATGAAATCAACCTAAAGTATACATTTTCGATGTTTTTTCCACTGTTGCATTTTAGAAATGATATGTTCTAGAAGCCATTTTGCGAAATACATCTTTAAAATTACAGATTAGTTTATGAATAGAGTATTGTGAAAATATATCGGTATGAATGTCCAAAATTTGAAAAGAATATGTGTTTGTTTCAAAGAAAAGGGATATCGTTACTTAAATAACACAACCTAAAGCACGTATTTCCTATCTGTTGCTTTTTAGAAACTTCGTTTTCCCGAGGCTGTTCGACCCTTGACGCTTTATGGAAACTACATTTTTACTCATGATTTTCGTCTCTGAACCAATTTGGAAAAACACGGCTGTTCCTTTGGCGAAATTTGGTGAAAACACTTGGTGCCAAAAAAGCCAGGCAACTTTTCTAGGGTTTTACAAAGTATCAGTTTATATTGATGTTTTCTAAAAATAAGTCATTGCTTCAAAAATATGAAATTTCAGCAAATATCCTGCTGATGTTTAAAACTATTTTAGTTTATGAGCCATTTTTTGTTTTGTTTCTATGAGATGGATACAAGCACTAATGATAATTTTAATCCATTCTAAATCGTGTATTTATGAAACATATTATTTATTTATGATTCAAAGAAATAATATATTTTTGTTATAACAAATAACATATGTTTGTTTTGAAAATAAGACATAATTGGGTAAAATATATTTTAAAAATGATAATAGCCTCATTTTTATATCGTTAATGATAATACCTCGGATATTAATTACCATTATGTGTTTTTATTCTGCTCTTTGATTCTATTTCTTTAATAGAACTCAGTTAATTACCTGAAAAATATGACAGCTAATAATGAACTAAATTATTCATTTACTCTCAATGGTTTTTTTTATTCTTAGTTTCTAAATTTCTACTTGAACACTTACTGAATAAAATCAGCCGTGCCAACATAAATTATCTGAAACTTATCGTTCTTTTAAGTATTTGCTTTAAAATATTACTTGTCAAGTTTTAATTAGGTGTCTTACCCCTGCAGAGTGAACTGCTCCTTTGGGTAGACCAGTGGTTCCGGAGGTAAACGCAACAGAAACTGGATGATCGAAAGGAAGTTGTTCGAAAACTATATCTGGAACTTCTCCATTTGGTGTTTTACCACTTTCAAGGAATGGTCCGAGGAAGCAACTGCAATTAAGACATTTGAAAGTTGTATAATTTAATTTTTTACGGACATTTTGAAAGAGCCTAGCTTTTAAAACTATATATAGTTTGATAAATCTGGCGTAAAAAAAAGAGTAATATAAAAAAAAATTAAGTCACTTCCTTCTTAGGTCAACAAAGAAACATTTTATTTTAGTTACTTTTTATTAAATAGTTACAATTAATATAAATGTGTATACTCATATGACAGAATCACAATAGTAAGTGACAAAATAGAAAGCGATTTTCCCCGCAATTTTCCATTTTCCTTTCTATTTAGGGTGTTGGACTATTTTTTTTGTTTGTCACTATTTATTCATTCATTAAATTTAGTTATTCTAATAACATAGTATAGCAAAAAATAAATCACATTCTCAGAAATTAGGTCATTTCAGGTGGGATTCGAAGCCACAACTTTTGGATTAGAAGTCCAACGCAAGATCCATTGTGCAACAGGCATGCAACGAACAATTTCCCTTTCTATATATGCTGTTGGGCTATCATTTTTGTTAGTTACTATTTATTAATTTCTTAATTTAATTAATGAATTAATATTTGAAAAAAACTATATTAACATCAAGTGTCAACCCCTATAAGTTCAAAAAATGTATTTGATTTTGAGTGGATGAATAAAAAGTATTTTATTAACGATATATATATATATATATATATATATATATATATATATATATATATATATATATATATATATATATATCGTGCAAAATTCATAGCACAATTTAGATTTGTAATTCGTTCATTGCGGTAGAAAACATAATATTCAGAGAAAGTCAGCTAGTAAAATGACTGCTACAATTTTCGAATTTCCAAACATGAGTTTCCAGGATTTCACAATCCATTCTGTATCAGATCTATATCTGTACCGGGCTACGTACAGAATCTCGTAGTATGAGTTTCTTTTGAGAAACACCATCAAATGGGACAACTCTTCAATGAGTTAAATTGATGACGTGTTCACATGAAAAAGGCAATCACTTGTCTTTCATTGAATTTAAAACTGGCATTGAATTTGTTCTTGTAGTTATATTTGGAAAATTTTTAGATAAAATTTCAAATTTTATACAAGGATGTCTTAAAATTTATTGTGGCTCTGGGCCCTTGCGCAAAAGTAGGCCCTGGCCCCTACACAAATGTAGGCTCCGTCTAAGACAGTGTGTTCCATACGTTGACAAATACTCGTACAAACCGGGAAAAAATGTGATGTGCATGACATACAATTGCAAAACCATCTTGACTGACTGACGCTGTTCGAGTGAATGAGTAATAATGGTGTAGGGTGGTAGGCTTAGGACTATAAATGGACGATGGTCATCACATATAGCCAGTTGTCATACCGTCCGAAATTCCCAATTTTTTGGAGAAAGAAATCGGAAATTACTTTTGACCGTGAAAAATATTCGAATCACTATCTTATTAAGACTAAGTCAAGAGTGATACGAGGCCCCTATTGTAGCCGAGGCCCTGGTCCCGGGCCCAGTTGGCCCGTGCCTTTAGACGTCCCTGAATTTAAAAATAGAATAAAGATGCTCAAGAACTAAGAAAGAAAATTTCATCAAAAATATTTCAAGGTAAAAAAAATGTGTATATTATGCATGTACTTTTAAACCAAACGTATTGTTACGTAGATCCGAGGGTTCGAGGATTTTATGCAAAAACAATCACAAAGAAAAAATAATCAGTTCTTTAAGAGCGATGTGAATTTATTAGCGAAAATCCAATCCTTTAAAAACAGGATTCAGCAGCAATATTCACAGGGTAAATATCCGAAGGCCTTCACACCTTTGACAGCAATCAAATACTAGAACAGTGTTTAAAAATACACGTACGTAAAGATTATTCACAAGCACAGCCGAGCTAATCGCTAGTCAAAACAATCCTCACTACTCCCTGGCTTATCCCTTTTATATGCACGACAGAAACTTCTAGAAATATAACCGCTCGTGTCATTGAACGTGACACTAGTGGAGAGATCTACTACTTTCTAGAAGATTCCAGAGGGTTCCGAACTCGCCAACATGGTCGCCAAAAATGATGCCAACTTGGCTCTACCGCCAAGATTTCGCCAAGTTCTCATTGGATCGCCATTATAAAGTAAGGGGCGGCACTGCTTGTGAATAGTACATTTTTAACATGAAATAAATATAACATAGAGTAATATAAATGCATTAAACACTCAAATACAAATTATTTACACTATTTACACAAAATTTGTAACAGTATTTTGCTTATTTATGTACGTTAGTATTGTTGACGAGTGTATGCTTTTTAAGAAAATGTTTCTGACAGGAGCAAAACCTGGCAACAACGTAGTGCATGGACTGGTAGGCTAAAAACACATGCTTGTATTTATCACGTCGCTATGTTGTCCAGTGTATTTACAAACTGATTGGCTGGAAACAGGGGGATTATGTTGTAATCATTTGAGTATGACATCACATGAATTAAACTTATTGTCAATTCGAATGATATGTACACAGTTGTGAAAAAAGTTTTGGGGAAGTATTCTAAGAATATGAATGACATTATGTGTCATACATATTATTTTTTTCTTTAAGGTATCCGACTACGTTCGGAACCGTGATTTTACAAAAGCGCATAAATGGATAATTTTCATGATTCTAATGTCACTCAGATTAGAATACATGCACAAAATTGTTTTAAGGACGTTTTGCCAAAAAAATTTATTTAAATATAATATTTTGGCAAAAAATTAACTTAGAATAATCTTTTTTTCCAAATGTTCTCCTTTTGTCAAAAATGCTTCTATTAGAATAATATTTTGCCTGTGTATGTAGCTCAAACATCTCTACAGAGGCTCAACGAGAATTTTTGAAAAAATCACATTGAATACCACCAATTGAAATAATTATTGGCGTTTTTTTCTTAAAATTGCTCCCCCTGTTGTCGTAAAATATAAAAATAAACCCACTTCTAAGTTATATACTTCAAAAATTCTAGTTGAGCCTCTGAACAGAGGTCTGAGCTATATACAGGCAAAATATTATTCTAATAAAAGCATATGTCACAAAAGAAGAACATTTGGAAAAAAGATTATTCTAAATTAATTTTTTGTCAAAATATCGTATTTAAATAATTTTTTGTCAAAATGTCCTTAAAGCAATTTTATGCATATATTCTAATCTAAGAGACACTAAATATCATGAAAATTATCCATTTATGCGCTTTTGAAAATCACGGTTCCGAACATAGTCGGATACCTTAATATAGGGTAGAGGTGAACTAGTTTTAATTTTTCTATCTTTTCTCTTGAAAGAATTTCATCTTCAATTTATACAAAAAATCTTGGAGTTTTCTAACGATTTTATTTAAAGATTTTAATTAGGTTTATTTGTAACTATCCGTCTCATTTTTTAAATATTATAAAATCAAAAATAAAGTTCACAAAAAAAAATTCCTCTGAATATTTATCACTTACATGTGTCAGCAAGTTCATAAAATGCTTAAGAAACAAATGAATCCTTAAAAGTTTTTAGTCAGCGAATTCTTAAGTCTTAGATAATCCGAATTACTTTTAAGTTCATGTATCCAATGACGTAGAATGGGGTGAATCACAATTATCCGGTGATGTTGACACATTGCCATCGGAGCACCTGATCTCCGAAAAGATCTTAATCTCCTATCAGAACACTTGGGGAATAACATTGAGATTCTTTACTTGCCCTTGTTAATTTTAAAGTAATAAGAAATATGTACTGGATTGCTAAATTAGCGGGGCCGTCGAGACGACCGAGGATCATTCAGAGTAACTCGATCGACCAATGGCCGAGGTTTTCTCGGCCAATGGCAATCGAGTTTTCGACTTGTCTTGGGATCGTGAAGTGCAGGGAAGAAATGCAATCAGAGGTGGAAGAGGAACTCTCCCCATTGGTCGGGCCACTCGTCTCCCATTGGGAGAACGAGTCGCTCGGAAGAAAAGGGAGAGTTGGCAGAGAGAAAAATCAAAAATCTCACGCTAACGGAATTAGGAAAACCTTGAATTGTTTAAGAAATCATTTAGAATTTGGGGACCTAAGATGAAATCTTAGGTCTTTCGATCGTAACTGTTAATGAGGTGTTGATAAAAAATATCAATTCTCTCGTCGCATTTTGCATTCCTAAACTGTCCTCCCATTTCCAAGAGGAAAGGGTAATCGAGGAAGAATTTTCTTAACTCGATGATCGCGGCTTTGAATCCAAAATAATTTTCATTGCTATTACTTTCGTTGATTTGGGGGGTTTCTTCGGTGGGGGCTGAAGTCCCGGGTTTTTTATTTTCATTTTGACAGCCCAAAAGAGCGGTTGAGAAGGGGAGATCTGGTGTGATCGGTTTAAAGGTTTTATTAACTTCAGTTCTCTTAACGGTATTAAGATTGATGGTCGCTTCACCTTTTTTCTGTTTAATTTTGGGGAATTCTTCACACTGGCTCCAGTTAGCCATACGTCCTGTCTCGTTGCAATTAATGCATATGGGGTTAGCTATTTTCTCTTTAATTGGGCAATCGTTAGTTCGGTGTGGTTCACCACATTTTAAGCACCTAGTGTACATGTGACAATTTTTTGACGAGTGGTTAAACACGTTACAATTGTAACACTGAGACACCTCCGGCTTTCTGTTAAAAGTGTCGACCTGCACAGCTAGGTAGCAACACATTTTTATTTTAAAAATGTCTGGGGAGTCGGATGATCTTTTGAGCTCAACCATAAAAATGGGGAGCGGGGATTTTGTTTTCGATCTGGTGAGCTGTGCCACCTTTTCGACCCAAAATCCTTGGGAAGTTAAGTCTGCTTGTATCTCTCCGATTTCTGTGGAAATCGGGAGTCCTTTAATAACTACTTTCTGGGAGGGGGAATCCAGCGGCTAGACCACGTAAAATTCCTCGATCTTTTTGTCGAGGTAGTCAGTTATGATGCGATGTTCATTGCTGTTTGTCATAAAGATTTTAAGGTATTTCCCTACTAACTTAACGTTGCAATTGGGGAAATCCTTATTTAGATCTTCTATGATAATTTTATAATTTTCTTTTTTATGCTTAAACATAATTGGGGGATTTTAGGGGGCAACTGGAGCCGTTGCTTGATTCAAGATTGGGGGATAATTTTGGCTTCCTTTCCAGCGAGGCTCCTAAATTTATTTTTGACATTGATAGGCTGACTGGACCCGGCAATGGGATCAGATAGTTTTAATTTCTTTGCAAATTTTTTAGGGGAGGGGAATCCATCATTTCTATTTGAAGCTGAATTTGCTATTTTCTTATTTTCTTGGCTCGCTTTACGCGAGTGCTTCTTAGCATTATTTTTGGCGGTAATTTAATTTGCTAGAATTAATTACATTTTCTGGGCAATCCAGTACAAGGCAAGGAAGAAACAGAGCTAACTCACTTAGTTTCTGCTCCTTCAGAGAGACGAGGTCGTCGTATTCGTTTTGGTAGCCGACGAGGA